AGTTTTCCTCCATTAGTGGAAAAGGAAGGGCGCCTTTTGCGTCTGGATATACTTAGCAACAGAAGGGCGCCCTGTACGTTGGGCACGAAGTATAGGAAACTTGAATGGTTAAAAAGAAGGGCGCCGCTTACGTTGGGCACGACTTCCGCCTCATTTTTACAATGCGAGAACTCTATCTTGTATTTCTAGTATCTTTGGTAATACTCTACATACTAAGATATTTATAGAAATAATATGGATAACTGCTAAAGTACCAGTACATGAAAGGCTAATTGTTAAGTTATTATTTATTTGAAAAGTTCATTTCTTTACAATTTACTCTAAAAATATTGTTGATTACATATATTCATTGCACACACGTAGAAATTAATTTCAGCTACTTACTACATTCTAACATACAAATGAAAATAATAGGGATAATTATATGATAGGATAGCCATCAAAATCTCTTTTCCTGTCAATGTCATTATGAAACAGAGGGGTTGCCGTGTTACATGCAATCGTTACACGCTATCGCTGACAGCTTTCATAAATGCTGATTGGTTGGTAGAATCGGGGAGTCTTCCCAAATGCATCGGAGACTGCTACACAGTACAACGATTGCATTGAAAACACTGCAGCGACAGTGTAGCGATTTTATGGAAACCAGGCTTTAGTTTAAATTATACAAACAGTAAAAAGACATGTAGGACTTTTAAGACTAACAAATATTTTATTGCGCGAACAAAACCCTGTTAGTATGTTATTTCATTTAATATTCATTTGTAAAGTATATTTCCATATAGTTTATTATAAAGAACATCTTTGCTTAAATACTTATATTCATTCATTAATTTATTCATCTGTCCGTATATCTATCTATCGTGTTTAATTCTCAGTCTTTAACACTCATTAATGTATTCTTTCATACATATATTCTTCTGTCCATTCTTTCATTGATGTATTTAATAATTAATATAATACATTACTGCATTCATTCGTTTATCCATTTATTTATTATTAATAAGGTAAAGTGAGAAGAATAACCCATAACTCAGAGTGTCATTGTACTGAATTGTGCAGTGGGCGTGGTCCTAGCCGCCATAAAGAGCTGCTTATAGTAGCTTCATGTTCACATCATTCCACAACGTTTGACTAAATTGAACCATAACATGGAGATAACCCCCTACTCTTCCATATGATGCAATGGCTTAAACCAGATGTGTACACTTGACCTCCATTTCAAGTCCTTATCCAAGAAGACTTCTACCAACCACGACCTGGGAGAGAAGCGACTCTAACCAGCACCAATTTTAAGGCTGTAGTCGGCAGCGCCCCTGCCTAATACCAATTGGCCACACGACTCCCCATTTATGTATGCATTTATAATTATAGGCATGACTGTTGAATAGCATTCATTCTTGATACTTTTTTTTTTTTACTTTTGATTCAATTGTCCGTTTATGGGGAATAACAGATGATCAGTAATTATAATCTTGTTTTTCTATCGTGTTTTTGCCTTGCAGGAGTTTAAGTGCCCCTACCACACCCACCACACCTTCCTCTCCGTTACTGCATAGGAATCCCATTCCACTCATCAAGAACGATATGGTTGATTTACACCACAGCATGTACCCGATGAAGGAAATAAAACATGAATTACCATTGGTAAGATGATGATAGTATAAAATTATTAGTATAATGAGTATTAAATTATTTTAATATCATGATCTCTGTTTAAATAAATGGAAATAATGTTTGCAGCTGGCTGTCATGTTGTCGCTGAGCCAGATGTCGCCCAATTTAAATTTCTGACCATTATGTGAAATTCCCAAAAGTTTCTTTTTGCGATTGTTTTTTATTTTATGTATAGAGTTCCTTTTTTCAGATTTTATATCTTGTTGTCTGCAATTTCGGGATCAGCCGCTATCAGAAGTGTGATTGTTCACCTATTGCCCTTCCCATCACCGGCAACTTTTTATGTCATTGTTATTTTATTGTGTTTTTGCCTGTGTGAAGTCGAATAAATAAATGATTAAAAATTAATAATTATAGTCATGATAGAGTAATTATGTTTAGAAAGATGTGGTTACTTAGAATGATGATGATGGTTATGATATTAGTGGTAATAAATATTGGTGGGGATCATCATGACCTACCAGGCATTGCACCTCATAAGCCTTATTTCCATAAAATTGCTACATGCTAATGCTGACACCTCCCAGTGATACTTATCAGGGTTTTTTTTTGTTTTTTTTATTGTGTGGGGGACAGCTTTGAAGTGTAACAATTAACACTGTAACATTGTAGCAATTTCATTGAAACCAGGTGTTTCTTTTTTTTTCTGATTGTGTGAGGGACAGCTTCGAAGTGTAACAATTAACACTGTAACGCTAGCAATTTTATGAGAACCAGGCGTTTTTTTTTTTCTGATTGTATGGGGGACAGCTTTGAAGTGTAACAATTAACACTGTAACATTGTAGCAATTTTATGGAAACCAGGCATTTTTTTTTTTTTTTCTGATTTTGTGAGGGACAGCTTTGAAGTGTAACAATTAACACTGTAACATTGTAGCAATTTTATGGAAACCAGGCGTTTTGTTTTTTTTTCTGATTTTGTGAGGGACAGCTTTGAAGTGTAACAATTAACACTGTTACATTGTAGCAATTTTATGGAAGCCAGGCTTTGAAAACTCTTGATGAAAATAACATTTTTTGCTTTGTATTCAGACTCCAGGATCATGTCCCCAATATCCGTCCTTTGCTCTCAAGTCACCTGGACACCTAGCCCACGGCAGAGACAATTCCGTCATCCAACTTTGTGAGGATGCTCGCATGCGCAGCGAACTCACCTCTGAAACAGAGTCATCGGAATTGCCTCTGCAACCGCGGAACTTAAACAAAGATGAGGAGATGATGGGAAACGATGTGGAAAAAGAGTCGGAAGAAGTCGAGCAAAGTTATATTGATAAAACAGATGAAACAAACCTTGGTAACGGAGAAATGTAAGTAGAACATATAAATAATAAATTTATGCATGTTAGTTTATACTTTGTATCTAACTCAGTAATTCATTGATTTATTTCTCCATAAAAAAAACAATATTATAATACAAACAGTGTATAGTGGAAGGTAGGCCAAAGTAGAACATTGCTGGTAGGTTTATGACCACCTTAAAATTAAACAAGGAAATCAATAAATAAGTAGAATAGCATGTTTGTACTGTACTTCCCTTCTCAAACAATTTTGTAAAATTCTCAATAATCAGATCATACTTGTTTGTTGCATTTTATGCCTAAATTCTTGTTAAATATGTACAAACGTATAAACTTGAAAAATACTTTGAGAAAAAAATTATCTAGTAATTAAGTGATGTTTACAAAGTACTATTGCTATATTCTTTGTATACCCTTAATTTTCTGGCAGCAAATATAAGTATTTTTGTAGTAAAACATCTCTAAATCATTGGAAAAAATTTGTTTTTGTTCTATAACTTATTGAATTTTCATCTTACTGTACTTTATGAGATATCCTAGGTTGTTTTATAATTTTAGAGGTTTTTAATGTGGAAGCGTATATATCTTTACCAAAGAAACAGCTGATCTTTAAAGCATTTTTCTGATATCAACACTATTTGAATTGCAAAGTAAATGTATCATTTATGGTGAGATTATGTTTTGACTATAAATATTTTAATCTTAAAATGTTCTCATTGATGGTCATATATGAACAATGGTGAGAAAAGCAGTCATAATTTTTGGAACATTATCATCATAAATGTAATTTAATAATATTCATAGAGGCTCAGTAAATCTTTCAACAATTAATACTTCAGCAGAATTAATATTTCAATAGGAAAATAAACCTTTCAACCAAAATAACTCAGTACATTTCAGAATAAAATTTCAACATAATACAAATTTCAACACATACATTCTAACAGAATAAATTATTCCAAGAGAATAAACATATCAACAGAAAAATAAATTTTTTAAGAAAAAAACTTACAATTCAAAGGAATATGTATTTATATGTTTTTATATTGTAATGCAGTCATAATTCAGCTTTTCGCCGTTGATTGTAAATTATATACCAAAATAAATAAATAAATTTTTTTTAAAAGAATGTACACATTTCTGGAAAAAAAAATTTTTAATTGAAGAAACATTTTAACAGGCAATACATTACCCTCTGGGTCTCTTCTAGGTCAACACAAGTTTCTGCACGTGTTTACAAGCATTTCGTTTTTTCACCCACTTTCCTACATTATCTCATTTATTCTCACAAGTTCTATCTTTTGGAATATATTTCCGTCTTATGTTTTTCTTGCTTCTTGTAATATTTAGCTTTTTAAATGCAATATCAATTGTCTCAATCTACTCTCTCTTAATTTTCCTTTGCCTGGCCTTTTCTGGGCATCACATTTTTTTTTTTAAACAAAAACAAAAGAATCAAAAATTTAATACACATTTCCAAGAGAATAAACTTTTCAGAGCAAGTTAAGTTTCAATGCAGTTCTACAAAATACCCACAAGAAGTTCTAAGAAATTAACTGGATAAAATGGGGTTACAAGGCCGAGTGTTTAAAATATTGCCTCAAATTTTATTTCCTTAAAATTGTGTTATTTCTAAGATTAGTTTTATTCTCTTAGGGGTTTTGGCAAAAGATGGCCTTTTTCTTTGATCATGTAATTACATATTGCACCGAAAATCTCTGTGCCACTATCTAAACATTATTGCTTGCTTATTGCTTCTAACAAATACGTAGAATAAACACACTAAGATATCTTGATATAGATTGGAAAATTAATACAAATATAATCATATTTATTTTGGTAATCTAGCATGCCAGAAAAAAAAGGATTTTATTATTTCAGCGGTGTTGTTGTATTTAATGTTGCATGCTAGTTAATTCACAAAGTGGAAGATTATTTGTAATGAAGCGAATTTATTCATGATGCACTCTGCAAATGTTCTGGATTTGCGCCTTGTTAGCTCTTCTGCAAAATTAAGCTCCTGAAATGATAGAGAATGTAGAAATCTGATTTTAATAATTATACCTTCCCATCATGCAGTTTTGAGCAATGCATGATGGATATATTATAAAAATTAAAAATTTTTCAAAACAATGACAGTTTATAAACCTAATTCATTTCATGATCTGATCACGACAATCAAACAAATGGCAACTAGCGTGTTGTGAAGGGTTTGTTAAGCAGGCAATCAAATTTCCCATAGAAAATACTTATAACTTCCTGTAGAACGTTAACTACTGCACAATAGCGAGTGTAAAGCAACATGCTAATGGGTATAATGTTAGCATTGTGTTATTTTTATCTGGCTAAATTTTCTTTCTTGTTTGTCTGTGTATGTATTTAATTTTTGGTCCATCCATGTTAGAAATCCATGCCCTCATAAGCTTATTTTCTGTAATGTAATTTTAAGTGACATTTTGTACTAATAATGACAACAAACAACAACTATTACTTAGGACTAAAGGGAGAAAAAAGATCGCAGATTAACATTAATAATCACTAATGTGGATTTCCTGTTTTTCACCTAGAATTGATGAAGATCCACCAACGCCAACCACCATCGAAGCCAAGTTTTCCCAGGAAGAGGTCATGATAGATAGCGAAGATGGCCTCGATGGACCTCCGACTCAGGTCAAAATAATGTCAAAGTTCACAAGCGAGGGAGAAGAGCTCGAGGACAGGTCACCTGTTGACACGATATTAGAAAAGTTTAGTAACGACACAAAAATTGAGGAATCGTCCGACAATATGCAGATTGAAGAACCGATGGAAGAGGAAGTGGTTGAGGAGGATGGCTTTGAAGAACCACCTACGCAGGTCAGATTCATGTCAAAGTTCACAAGTCAAGAGGTCGTCGAGGTGCAAAATGAAGAGGAGCATGTGTCTGTCTTCCCACCATTAAATGGTCATATGATTGAGAATGAAAGCTTGGACCATGTGCAGGAGTCGATGATTGAAAATCATGTCACTCAATCAGTCTGATCAATGCTGAAGATTTATAAAATTGCTGAGACTCAAATTAGACAGCGAGTTATGTAAATCCTGAAATGCACATGGTTTGTTGTTATGGACAGAGGAGTTCTGGTTCCATAGTTTCTTAGATGTGCTAGATGCTCTTCATAGAGAGGGCGCCATGCAGCTGGTTGGACTCTAGTATATGCAAGAGGTTTGGTGATGTTCCTCAGGCGTGATACACCCGATCTTTCCCTCCCATTTCTACCTAACAGTATACTGCTATCAATTTGTACAATACCTTGTGCTGTAATAATACTAATATTGAAAAAAAAAACTGTTCAGAGCTGATGAAACAGTCATGATTTAACACGTTCGTTGCTATGCGGTATCAAAAAGGTATTCACCACCAAATATACACATTCTCAGTTGCGTGTAAAACAGAACAAACATTTTTAATTTATTTTTTTGATTATTATGTACCTTCCTGAGCTGCCATTGGTATGTTAGTGCAATTAAGGCAGTACCACTAGTGTCATAATAATATAAATGTATACTCGT